AATTAAATATCGGGCCCGGGACAGCAACACAAAATTGTAACTGTTGGTAGTTTGTATATTTATAAGTCTTTTGTTTACTTGTTTTATTAATTAAACTGTGGTTTCTGGGCGGAAGCTATAGATTATCTTGGTAATTCCCGACTTATGTCCATAAAGTAAGCACGTATACTGAAGGACTGGTACTTTACGAGTGATTAGCAAGTTAAGTAACAATTAAAAATGTTAAATCGTGTATAATTAGCACCTTTACGAGTAAATATTAGTTGAAGAGAAACTTGTATTGAGTTTTGTTTGTTACATGATAAAATAAAATAACCACGACGTCATTTTTGAACCAAAGAAAAGCATCGATAAATGTTATTATTAGTATAATTCTATTCTTTGGGCGAACATAAATTAGTTTAGGATCAATTTTAGATTTTTTCCCAATAATATTTTCAAGCTTTTATAAAAAACAGAAAATGTCCAAATCCTTAAAGAACACGACACTAATTAGCTTTATTGATTTGGCAGCCCCTTACCGCATTAACATGACAATAATTATAAAATCATTATGATTATGACACTGAACATATTAAAATCGCATTAAAAGACTACTAGATAATTTTATCATTCCCTTATGTTTCACATTTAAGAAATGAAATCTTTAACTTTCCCTGCTTTTAAGATTACCAAAATTTGTGAAATGATGCAACGTGGGCCGGAATATATCGAAGGATTTTTTACATACTTTATTATTTCCGCCCCACTGTGTATCATACATATAATATTATAATTATGGTGTTTTAGTTTCGTAAGTATATTAGCGTTTTAAGATTTAAAATTTATTGTTATAAGTAGATAGTCTTTATGTAGTTTGCATTTATTTTCAAATACGGTTTGTGTGGGCTTATATTAAGTTTGAACAGATGTTAAAAAACCAAAATTTTCTGAATAGCGTTATTCCTCTTTATTTATTTAGATTTTTTAAAATGTATTGTGTGTTGGTAATAGCAATTTTAGCCCCCTTTTGTATTAGTTTGGTGGGATACAGAAACGATAAGTTATTTCGCGCGTTTAATATTTTATATTTTAATAACATTCTCAAAACTTAACGAACTAAAAAATATGACTAATGTAAGAATAATCTTATACACATGAACTTATAATTCCGCTCGACGAGTATCGAGTGCTCTTCACAATATTGTAAAAAGGAAAGAAAATATTGACAGTGTAATTTTTGAACGAGTAAACTGTGTAAAAAACTTTAAATTGTGATTATTTTATTGCCTTGTGTATTTTTCTGTCAAAACGCAATTGGAAACCAATTTAACAGAATTCAAAGAGTAAAGACTAACTAAACTATGTCCTTTCCCAGAACTTAACTATCTCTTTACCAAATTTCATCTAAACCGGTTCAGCTGTTTAAGTGTGAAGAGGTAACAGAACAATTATAATTAATACATATTAGCTACAAGTATGGTTTGCGACAACTATGATGAACAGCGATCATGAAATTATTTCTAATAGGGACAACGAAGACTGCTTTAAAATTACTGTGTTGCTAGTCTCATGCTGGCCACTCAAACACACGCGTGAAAATATTCATAGAGTCGAAATCTTAGCAATCCATTGGATACGTAAGACAAAACTGTAGAATACATTGCCACCAGCAGCATTTCCGGACCAATATGTCACGAAAACCTTCAAAAAAGATCCTTCCTTAAATCATCGCATTTGTGATACTCCTGGTGTTGCAGTTATCTGTGGGCGAAGCTGGTGAGCCCTCTCGTTTGCCCCTATAAAATTAAAAAAAAACTGTGCATGTGCCTGGTCCATTGTGTTGCAGAGAAACTTCAAGGAGTTCCCAGGGACATGTGACCCAGTTATAGGTTTAAGGAGGTCCCCTTTCATGCACAGCAACGCTCAACTTCACTGCCCGAGTTGCCCTGCCTAGCCGAAGAAGACCTTCGATTTTAGCCATATTTTTACCTTGGTACAATTTATCTCTAAAATAATTTAAAATTATTCTTTAAAAAAATACACTAATCAAAATCTCGATAAATATAACTGTAAATAAAAATTATAATTGCTGAAAATCTGAATTAAAATAGGTAATCTGCGTATAAAGAAACGATATTACCAAGACTAAATTTGTAATGCATGACTGACAGCTCATACTATTGGTTTAAATTCATTTCCTTGATTGTGATTGGTTGTATCAAAAATTACGTGAATTCTTTGAATAAGCTTTGCTTAGCTAATTGTTACTCAGATTAAATCTTAGCAATCTGTGGATTATTAGTAGGTATCTTGGAAGGTATGTTATTAACATAAAGATGGACATTTAACAAAAAATATTATCTGTGTTGCCATTTATTAAAAAGTTTGGACGGTTTTTTTATGTGGAACAAATGGAAAATAAATCTATTTATATTTTTGATGAACGGCGTATTTTTCTTCACATAAATGAAAGATGATACTAGAGGTACAAAATTGGGCTCAGTTGTATCGAAAAAAGAATGGAGCCTTTGTTAGGAACGTGTTAGTACAGCCTTAGTTACTCGTGCTAAAATTGAACTTACTGCAGTTCTGAATAGTCCAAGGTCTTTTTAGGTTTTGCCAAGAGTTTACTACTACTTCTACCGCATATAAATTAACCAAATAGCCATTGTTGGTTAGATAGTAATATTTATTCAATTTCATCGGTGGTTTTAAGTATTAATAGTTTCCTATAGTTCAGTGCCTAGCAGTACCTTTTAAATGTTTGCAAAGCTGGTGAATATTCAAATAGGTTTCAGCAACCATTTCGGCTTTCTCAAAGGCTCCATTGCATGCTTTTCTGATTGAAAAGCCGACGACTGATTGCAGCGAAAAGTTTGCAGTCATTTGCCAAATGTGCGAAAGTGGGTGATAGTAAAACAAAACTAGACGTGAAAGAAATATAATTAATGTTTTACAAGAAATAAAACCAAAAAGCCTTACACATAAAATTTTATTAAAATTAAATCATATCAGTATGACAAACGAAAAGACCCAGAGCTCCTATATTAAGAAACTTTTATACACTAGCACTCTCAGAGGGGCCACATTTAGTATTCCCTCTCACACATCCACTCTCACAGTTACACGCGTAACCAACGTCAATTGAAAACTTAAAGTTACAACTTAAACCTTACAATTAAAAAATATACAAGCTGTGAACAACCTACATTCTAGTTGTTGTAAATTACATTTGTCGTTCAATGCCTATATATTAGATACGGTAAGGACCTGTATCGTGTACGAGTCTTACACGAAATACTTCATATAATTATCAAACTTGCTACACACATATCAGATTGTGCATCTAGGACTGCGCAAAAACAAAGTGCTGGATGTGACGCATAATGCATAGGAACAGAAAACTATTAGGTAAGTAAACATTCTATAGATTTTATTGTCCATTGCCATAATGTTGGTCTTATGATTATAACGGTGTCGATTCTGGCATGATTCTCTAACCCTTAAAACAGTGTATCCTTGTCATTCTCTATATAGAAAGAAAAGGAGGGACTGATGTTCAATTTAGTTTTAAGTTTAGAGAATCATGCCAGAATTGACACCAATGACTGCATAAAATGTTATTTATGATTTCGAAGAGAACTTAAAAGTAGCAATGATTTAATTTTTGTCGTTCTAAATGTGCTTATCCGGCACTTCTATTCGCAAAGAAACTATGTAACTGACAGTCAATAAGCAATTACCAACATTATAACAATTGCTAATTTAATTATTTAACTATCCATTTCCATTTGTTATTAAAATCTAATCCAATTTGATGTCTTACAAAACGATATAAAAATAATCAGTTTAACTGTTATTAATAGTGTAAGATAAAATTTATACATACCGATGCAATTCACGTGTTATTGATTTATTATTCTCAGGACACAATTGATTTATTATAAAAAAGCATACGATTTCACGTAAACTTATTTTTAATGAAAACTAAAAATATTTTTATTGTTGAATGTCGGTATAGCAACAATTATACTTTTGTATATGTTTTCGTTCGGTTTTAGTTCAGATATAATGATGATCTTTATTGATACTGGATTAAGTGTATTTTTCTGTTTGCTTAGTCACAATAGGATTACTAATAAAGAAATAAAAAGAAAAAACACGCCTTGTATGTATGTAAATACACCAAAACCAAGTGCATAAACACTGTCGCGTCTGAAATAATATTGCGGTTGCTATTATTCAACCAATTTCTGGAATGGTGATTTCTTACAGAGAAATAACAAATAATGCTACGTAAAATACTATATAATAGGACTACATACATATAGGTATATTCGACCACGAAAGAAACCTAGGGTATTTATTTTTGTGAAAATCAGGTTTACGTATAACATTATCATAAACTTATGTCATCGCGAATTGCATTTTTTTTTCAAGACTAGTGTCACTAATTTACTATTAAATCTTCTCAATATGATGGAACTCTAAGCAACAAATTAGAAATGATATGAAAACTCTTACAGGGGCCTCTAAACTCATACAACTACTCCAATAATAATGCGACACCAAAAAATACATTTGACTAATCAAATATTCGCAAATGAATTCGGTTACCCATTCATTGGGTAAGATAATGTTGAACGGAAATCACAACCAAACCCGTTACATCGTGTTGATCGCAGTTTTTGCGCTCCGCCTGCTTGATCGCAGTTGCCATGGAAGCACTTTTTAGTGCAGAGGCCCAAGCCCGGGTTTTCGACAGGTAACGCATTGCATCGTCAAAGTTTCTATGAAAACGAAGCAGCGCCGCTATCAGGCGAGAAAACAAACTAGCTTTTTCCCATAAAAACATTGACGATGACAATACTTTAAGTTGCTGTTAAAAACTCGTATTTGGGCCTTAGTTTGTATTCCATATTATTTCCAATTCGTTACCTTATAAAGTATGTTTAAAAAACGTCATTATGTCAGGTGGTTGGGCGGTTTGTTTAGTGTCTAGGCGTTGATGCGCGGCGTCACTTCTTGTCTGCATTATTCGTGGCGACAGTGGAGCCCGCGGCGGCGTTGGCCGCGTTACCAGCGCCGTAAGTCTGCGAATATGGTTATTGGATTAACATTTTAATAATAATAATAATAATCATTTACAGTAAACGCCGACTATCCGAACTCCGGATAACCGAATGGCCAATTATCCGAATTAGTCCTATGAGTAATATAAAAAATTAAAACCAAGTTATTTTTGTTTTGTTTTGTTGTAACAAGTTGGCTCTCACTCGAGTCCAGATATATTTCATTTGTTATGGTTAAAAGCTAGAGGGCAAGACACTGCATGTTTTGCGTGGCGCGGTTTTTTTACTACTATGTACCGCTATTATTGTCTTTAGTATTGAAGAACTGTGTTTGTTAAACTTAAAAGGTTTATTCTATGTGTGACAGTTAGTTTTTCTTTATTACCAGTCATGTCCGATTATCCGAATCGACCCCGGTCCCAATTAAGTCGGATAATCGGCGTTCTACTGTATTTACATAAAACATGGTGGGCCAATCACCTAACCGGAACACTGTGGCTATCGCTATCGCTGATGATTAGATTTTGTTATTTCTGACCGCCGGAAGCTTTCGCAAATGCCTCGTGCTCTTTTTTTTCTTTTGCATTGGTATGTGCAAAATTTACCTCTGTAATTTTAGTGTAGATGTCATTCGGTTATTTCAATCTCGATTGCATGGTGAATGACGGCTCTATTTGATTAATGTAAATACTATTAACAAAGCAGTTTATTTGGAGAAAAACTAAGATAAGAAGGCAGTAAAGTTAGTAAAGCATCCAAATTCTGTCAAATCAAATTCTGTGAGTCTTATCTCAATACTATTTGGCTTAAAAAATATTAATTAAGGGTTTACCATCTAGAATAGAAATGATGTCAAAAATTTTTTTCGTCATCTACCAATATTAAAAAAATATTGATCACATATATTTAAAATTTTCACAAAATCAAAATATCACAGAGATTTTATATTGGTTTGCAATATCGTATGAAGTCACGTCTTGGTGCAATTTTTACTAAGCGGAGACGTCACGAGCCCTCATTCCTAAAATTTTGAAGCGCTTTATCATTGTAATTCTTGGATGAGTGTCCATTATTTCTGATAATGTAACTTGCGTAAACAGAATTTCGTTTAATTTAACCCCGTCAACATGCCTATTGTTTCATCGTGTTATCCCTATTGTTTCATACGAATAAGTTTGATCCTATATAAATTACCTGATAATATTGTGCCCACGCCTGTTCAGCCGCATTGCCAGTTGGTTGAGCACCTCCTTGTTGATATTGCTAAAGAATTAAAAAATAAACCAATCAATAATTGTGTAAAAGATTCGAAATTATCTTAACCTAAAATAACAGCCTTTGTGATTCCGTTGATTTCTTTACCAATATTCATTATAATCAGTTCAGCAGCTTAGGCGTTGTAGGCGACGCATTTCTGAGTATGTGCTTTATATTATTAAAAGTTTATATTAAGAAAACATAAGAGATAAATATACGTATTAAAAATATACTGTTTCTAATTAAAGTTCTTTGTGTACTACTAACGCCATCTGATAAGCTTGATAGGAACTAAATTATCGTTTATATTGAAGGTAACTTAATATTTTTGTAAAATTCATATGTTGGTAATTCAATACAAAGGTTTTTTCTGTTGTTACTGGAGGTGAATGCTGTTTTATTTCGATCCTTTATAGGCGTGAAGGCGTCACAAAAAAATTACACTCTATCGCTTTCGCTTTAAACTTTCGTTTTCTGAGATTCCCTCAGGAATGTGTGCAAAATTTCATCCAAATCTGTTCAGCCATTTTGTGACGTGATTAAGTAACAAACATGCAAACTTTCACATTTATAAAAAATAAATAGTTCTAACACACCACCACTTGAGTAGTCCTTAACTAGGCACTGTAAGGCTTGTGTTATGGAATACTAGGGTAATGGATACAATACAGTCTTATACTTATATAAGTGTATTTTTATTGAGAAATTCAAATAAACCTCCATAACTTAGGTTCAAATGCTGGTTTTCATCTAACAAGCATTTGCCCCACCGGGAATCGAACCCGGGACCTCTGAGTAGACGACACCTTGAAAACCGGCATACCACTTGAGTGATATAGAGATACACTTTTGATAACATGAACTTTATTGATCTTTAAACTGATTTTTTGTAATTATATGAATTTGTTAATAAATACTCTATTTGATGTATCTGTGAATAAAGTAAAAAAAACCTTTGAATATATAAATTTAATAACGATAATAATATAAATAAATTCATGCAATGTATGTTGCTTTGACACTTTTGATGTGTGCATTTGTAGCTAACAGGCTTATCTTTCCAGTGACCGCCCGCGACTTTGACCGCGTTAACTTTAGTTTTCTTTTAATCCCACAGGAACCCAACATTTTTCCGGGACAAAAAGGTCCCATGTCTCAATCCAGGTCATAAACTATGTGCGTACCAAAAATTATCTAAATCCGTTCAGTAGTTTTAGATTGATTGAGTACCAAATTTTCAACTTTTCAATATTAGTAGGAGGATTAAATGCTTTTCCCTCTGTCGCATTGTGCATACAAATGATACAATATACGTGCAGGATTTGGCGATGTATTGTGTCATTGTTTATGCGTGAGAGACGCAATTAAAATTCTATTTTTTACCCATGTACGTTAAACTGCAGTTGTGTGCATAATTTTATCTATATCTTCACGCTGAGTCCTGGGTGGGGTAGGCAGAGAGAATAGAGCGACATAAGACACATCTTTCGCTTCATTCACATTCATAACTCTTTTCAAAAACGCCCGCCGGTTTGTGCGGCTTTCGACGTCACCTACCTTCAAAATCCGATCAATTTCATCTTCCAATTTGATAGTGTTAAGAGCCCTTTTACAAAATTAAGCCCTCGTTAAAATTAATTAAGATCGGCGCGTAGGTAGATTTGCTCTAGTATAAATTGCATTTTATGGGTGATGTTGTGAGTCTTATAAAATCATTATTAATGAACTAATTATAAAAATATATACATATTTCAGTAGTTCAATGATGACAGATTAGTTTTATGTAAGTTTTTGATAGTAATTCTATTAAATTCAATATCAAAATACGAGATAAACCTGCATTATTTTTTGGGAAATCTCACGGAGGTTAGATTTTTTTTTAATAATTAATGAGATGGAAAATCAAAATTCTAATACATTATGTTACAACAAAAACATATTTCTGACGTCGTAGTAATTAATTTGAACTAATTTATTAAACATTATTAAAGATTGAGGCGTTTGAAGTTGTGCATCTTATCGTTTTTTCCGTAAACTAGCTGCAGTAAAACGATCAGTACAAACAAAGGAAAATAGTATTTAAAAATATTCTACATTAACTTACAATAGGAAATAAATCTACTGCTTACTTCTATTGGAAATAGTCAAAATCTTTTCTAAGGGGGTAAACGAGGCACTCAAAAAAAAACGATTTTGCAAAAAATGTGAAAGGCCGTAAGTCGCAATGGCTACTCCCTTCCGCGTTGCTTTCTGTAGAATTATCATTTTCTACTCACCCCCGGCCACCCTTGTTGTTGCTGTTGCCACTGCTGCCATTGATACCACTGTTGAGCGGTATAATTCGCCGGCCATTGCTGTCCTTGAGCATTCCCTTGTCCCTGAGCTCCACTTTGGGCCCCTTGACCTCCCTGGGCGTTCCCTTGGGCACCACCTTGGGTTATTTGATTCCCTTGTCCTTTAGTATTGGCCGGGTTTTGAGATTGGCCCCCTGCCCCGGCAGCGTTGGGGTTCCAACCGCCCCAGTTACCCCAGTTGCCCCAACCAGCTGTAGGAAAAATACATTCATTATTTCAAATTTATAAAACTTTATTGACAACTAAAAATTGGAAATGGAATTTCCCTGCCGGAAAATATAAGGCGTGCCAAAACTCTGGCCTGTTTCAAATCCACAGTTAAGGAGCACATCTGGTCAGATGAGCGTCATTTTCATTAAAAATATTGCTACGTTAGTAATACAGGATGTTGCATGATATTGTGAAATGTGTGAATGTTTGTGTATGCCTATAATATGTTTAGTTTGCGTTTACTTTTAACTTACTACTTACAAAACTTTTGTCTTGTTTGCTTGCTTTCTATTTTTTTCCAGCTCATTGGGTTGCCTGGAAGAAATCGCTGAATAGCGATAAGACCGCCCTTTGTGCAACTGTAATTGTTTTGCCTTGTTTTGTATTTTATTCGTTTTCTTTATGTTACTATTGTGCAATAAAGTGTTATTATCTTATCTAAAAAGGCGAATTTTTGCAGAAAACTCGACTGATTGTTTTCACGCCATATTCCTAAAGAGAATAGCTTCCCTGAGCGTGTTGGTTGATATACCAGACTGTCCAGTATGGAAGCACTGGATAAGTGTTCATACAGGTTGTCATAAACTAAATGAATATACATTTTTTGTAATTGCCTTCTTTAAAAAAATCGAATTTTGATTTTTTAAAAGTAAATTTTATGATTTTAGTCATTATGATTTCAAATGTTATGTAATTATTATTAAGAAAGTTTACTTTTGCGCTGAAAACCTCAATTATAGTATACCTTGGTTTTGGTTCCAGTTACCCCAGCCGCCCCACCCGCCGGCCCACTGGTTCCAGCCCGGTTGTTGGTTTTGAGCTTGGTTCTGGTTGCTCTGTTGCATTTGACCACCACCACCACCGCCATCCTGATCAATATAAAAACTCGATCACTAAGTGAGGCCGCATACCAGAGATACATTTGTATTACAGTAATTGTGGCGCCACATTTGAAACGTGAAACATTTAACTCCCCCCCATATTTGTATGTAAGCACGCACAGGACACATTTATAGTAGGTGCAGTTTGTGGCGAGACGTTTGCCTCTCCACACGAATTAAAGATCGAACACATTCGGTTTATGTGGCGCCAAAATGAAAGACAACATTGAATTTTATGTGGAGTTTATCGCAGAAGTTGAAAAAACCCCTATTTTATATAATCATACACTCAATGACTATAGTAACAGAGGAATGACAGAAATTACGCCGCGTAAATTGTGGCGCCGTAAATGTATGTTGAGTGTAGCGTGTGGCGCCGGTGTGCGGCCTCACTAACTCTGAATCGCACTAAAGAAAATGTTTAACGTTGTTCTGCAAAATATAATAGCTTACAATTTTCTAAAAATGCAAAAAGCACAGCGTACAAAGAAAAGAAGATAACTGATATAAATAAATCGAAAGAAAATAGTTTATAGGACTAAAGATTGTTTAATTTTCGTTAAGTCTCGTTTTGGTTGGAAGCTGTTGTTCTAGCAAAGATATTAAATACCCAGATCCCTAGCGCTCAAAATGTGTCCCAATCAAGAAGTGCTTGAACACGACTCGAGCACTTCTTGGTTCACAGTCACGCGCGAACCGTTGAAAAGTCAAGATGTATAGCAGAGCTCCATGAAAAAATGCGAAATAAATACTTATAGTACGTAAAGTGTCGTTTTTTCGACAGGTATCTCTAATCAATATTTGTTAATTTAACGCATTTGAAGCAAATTTTGTTCTAATACTTACTATAGACTGATTTAAAAGAAAATATTTGTGATATTCAAATGCATAGTCGGTAATATAGCCGTCTCTTTTCGTCGCGGTCTATACCGGCTATATTGCTAACAGCATTCAGAATTGCGCGTTGAATCGAATAAAAAAGGTCTATATTCTTCCGCATGTAGCAAAAAGTCGTAAAATTTTACGAGCTTGCATCTCGAACTGTCATAATGCTTTGACGCATGCGTTTTAATTAAGACCTTATACAGTATGCATTAAAGGTGACTTTTAATGTTTAAACAATGCCTTAAATTGTTCATGACAACGCACGCGATCATCTTACGGAGCTCCGTGGTTCGTCAGATGTACCTTTTGGACAGGTTTCGGCCACGATTTTGTTCGTGATGTTGTATCTAGGGTATTTAATATCGTTGTGTTCTGCATCTGATTGCCTCGCTGCCATGTGCTCGTTAAGACTGTTGCCTTTATACGACTAATTAATGATTATGTTTAATTTCCGTTAGTCTCGTTACCTTTTGGTTGGGGGGCCGTTGTTGTTGGGGCGGGTTGTTTGGATGGGGCCGCGGTGGGCCACTGCCGCGGTTGTTTTGCATTTGGTTTCCTCGTTGCCATGAGCCCGCTGGGTTGTTACCTTTAGGGAGAATAATAAGAAGTAATAAAATAATATGCTAATAACATGTCTACAACTGGTAAAGCTTTAGACAATTTAAAGAGATGAATTAAGCATATATTAAACATACAATTAGCCGCGTTAACTTTAGTTTTTTGAGTCCCCCAGGAACCTATTTCTCTTTCTCGGGATAAAATTATCGTGCCTCTATCCAGGTAATAGACGATAATGTGTGCCAAATTTCATCCAATCCGTTCAGCCATTTTTGTGTGATTACTTAATTACAAACATACAAATTTTCACATTGGTAATATTAGTAGCATATCACAATTATACAACAACTTACGAGTTTGATGGCGTAAGTACTTAGCGCGTCCGACCTGTGAAAGCTAAGCAACTTTCGCAATAGTCGATCATTGGATGGGTAACCAAAAGCTTAATATCTCTCACTTCTCCGTGCTTTGAAAGGCATGTTAAGCTGTAGGTCCCGCCTGCATCTGCCGCCGTTAGCAGCCAGCTATCCGCACTAGGCCCGCGTTGTGGGTCATGGCCCAATCTCCATATTCCATTCAGAGGGAAGGCCTGTGCTCTAGCAATGGGATATTAATAGGCTGATGATAGTAATAGAGTACTAACGGCCGCCGCGACTTCGTCCGTGCCAACTTTAGTTTTATGAGATGCCCTCAGGAACTTAACATTTAGTTAGTTTTTTAGTTTCTCATAACTTTGTGAGTGTCCCACGTATATCCGGTAAAAAGGTTTTAGGCGATTCAAAGAGAGATTTTCGTAATTTTCATTGTTCACAAGTCTTTTTTACTATGATTCAGAAAAAAAAATGATTATATTTGTAATTATGTATAGTAAGAAGCGACACACAACATTAATAATTTTTTCACATTCTAACTCTTTGCAGATTCACTGATCTAGGGAGTCAATCCAGTCCAGTGCTGGATTGGATTTCCGCTATTGATCGCTATCTCATGTCACTGCTGTCTGTCCATCCCGTCTTTAGCTTTAGATCCTCCTTAGAATAATAATGCACTACTTTAAAACGGGGCGGTAGGCTGTGAAGGGCGGCACGCCCCTATTTATGCCCGTCCTGTAATTACCGCTGCCCTTACTTAAATACATGCATAGCCAACGAATTAAAAATTATATGGAAGCATTACTGTCTAAGGAAAGCCTCTAAAACATGTTTCCAAACTCATACCACTAAACTTAAACACTAAGGCGTTGATCGCATTTCTTCATTCCGCCCACTTGATCGTAGTTTGCTTGGAACCACTTTTAAGCGGACTACAACCGACGCTGGTTAATTAATTAAACTTACAATTAAATTGATCAATACGTTCATACATAATGGACCAATGGACATTATTTTCAATCGTTCTATGGAAATTATATTCGTATGTCCAATGGCTGATCACGGCTGCACAATTTAACACACATGTAACTTTTCTTTTAACCCGTGTATCACAAATAAAGTATTTGATTGAACATCATATGTAACAAACAAAACTCACCAGGAGGCGGCACATTCTTTCTATTATCGGGCGGCATCGGTCCCCTGCTATTCCTGTCCGGTCCGCGGAACCTGTCCGGCATGTTGGCTCCCTGCGGGCCCATGCCCCGGTCCCTGGGCCCGGCCGGCCCGACGCCGCTGGGTCCCCCGGGCCCGCCCGGCCCGCGATGTGTGGGAGGCCCGCCCGGCCCGCCCGCCCCGACGCCGGGCCCTCCGCGCCCGCCCTGCATTGGGGGCCCGCCCCGCCCGCCGCGGAAGTCGTCACGGTCGCGGCCGAAGTCGTTGTTTCTATATTTTTATTTATGATTTATTTATTAAAAAAACAATAATGAAAACTAAGTACAGTACGTGCATGAAGTGAACAGGGCCCTACCTAACGCCCTGAACAGGGCCATTAAAAATCAGACAATACTCCTGCACCGTCACCCGACACGCACTATGAAGACCGCGGTCCCCCTAGTGCGTGCCGAGAGGGCAGGTGTGGTTGCGGCAACCGTAGGGACCTCTCTAAACAGGTGTACTAAAATTACACAGTTAACACTTTATGTATTGATAGTTACCTAGGAGGCGGTCCCCATCGATCGAACCTGCCAGGCGGTCCGCCCGGTCCCCCCGGCCCGCCTCGGTCGCGGCCTCCACCGCCCCCGCCGCGGCCGCCACCTCCGCCACCGCCGCCGCCGCCCCAGCGACTGCCACCACCACCACCGCCGCCGCCGCCACCGCGGGCGACCGGGCCCCAGCGGCCTCCACCGCCGCCGCCGCCGCCACCTCCCCCGCCCCAGCGGTCCTCTATAAACAATAATAATATATATGTTATGTCGATAGCGATAGCCATAGCAATTACGTTAGGCGCTTGACCCGCAGCATATGTAAATAATTGTTATTATTTATTATTATTATTTTATTATATCTTATAAACTATAGACACCATTCCCCGTAGCATGAGCACCACAATTAATATTTTATCACGTTTTTTATCGCATCTAACTGTCAAACTCTATAGTAATTTGACAATTGATGTTGATAAAAACGCGTTATTTAACATATCGCGGTACTCATGCTAGGGGGGCTTATATTAGCTTAAGAATATAAAAGACAATCATTAGCATCTGCTGCCGAACTACGATTTTCATCCTGTATTTCAGATACAGAGTGCGTCAATCCTCAGGTTTAGTCAATTACTTGTATCCTATTATCTAGCGAAGTTCATGTTCAATGCTGTGATATTACAAGAAATACCTATTTGATTTTAATTTGGTAATTTGTATTATGTTACGTCATAAAAATGGACTAGGTGTTCCCTAAACAACTTACAAATAAAACAGCTTAAGGCCTAATTTCCCCAATGTTTTGCTGCTGAGACATTAATAGATCAGGCCAGAATATGAACAAGAACATTAATAAATGCTATGTTATATGAAAAAAAATTAACAGCCATTACTAAATGAACCATCAAACGAATGACTTGAAAACATAAAATAATAAAAATAGTATTGTATCGATGACCATTTTGACGTACTTTGACATATAAAAATTGTCTGTTTATCATGTAACGGACCTTACGGTCCCTTATGCCCATGATTATACATTAATGAAGACATAAATAACAAAATTTTGTTGAAATTTAATCTTAATCCAACTCATCTAAAGATCAAAGCATAAAATATCACACGGAAAGGAATCGCCACAGTATCAACTCAAGCCGTTCAGTATCTTTTCTTTGAAACTCTCTACTGCAACGCACACTAATCGGAATCACCTTGCCTTGCCTCGGAACAAGCTCGTGTTGAGAGGAAGAGAAGTAGGAAAATATTTATTTGTAAGGTTCCAGGGCTCCATGGGGTAAGGTTAGGCAACGGTGCGAGTGATATTTTGGTATCGCAAGCGTCTGTCTATAAACTATGGTGGCCGCTTACCATCAGGCAGCCCATATAACAATAACAATAACTCACCACGGTCTCTGGGGAAGTCCCTGTTCCCGCCGCGTCTGTCATCCCGATGCCTGCGATCGTCGCGGGCCCTCTTAGACGGCGGTCCGTCCCTTGAAGCGGAGCGTTCCCTCTTTTCCTTATCTTTGTTCACTCCCGCCGCTTTTGCTTCCTTGTGGAAAGCTTCCACGATCGCTTTCGCCTCCTCTTCACCCAATTCGGGATAAAGCACCTCGTCCAACCACGTGCATTTCTCCGGCAACGTGAAGTTAGCTGCCGGAAAAACGGTGAATAAGCTAGGGTATTGACGGTTGAGCCGAAGCCGAACCCGGCGGAAAATATTCTCAATTTTATTCAAGTTTTTATAAAATGGGGTGATTAAGTGGGAGAAATACGTTCCGCCTGGATGCGAGGCCTAGAGGGCGCTTTGTAGCGTTTGTGTGAGCGAGAGGGCGAGTGCGTACGCACCTTTCATGTCCACGATGGCCCCGTCGGGCACTTCCTTGCCGTCGGCCTCCTCCCGCCGCTTCTGGCGGTCGCGGTACGTCTCTTCATCGGTCACTATGACGACGGCCACTCGCCGGTAACCGTCGAACTCCTTCAGCTTACGCCTCTGGGCCGACGGGTATACGTTCGTCTGTTTTACCCACGCGATATCGAAACCGCGCCGTTACATAGCCCCCACGGATGCCGCGCCGATTATGATGTGAAGCAAAACATTTGTCGTTATAGATAATTGTTCCGTCGGGTGTCGCATTTTCGCCGGCAGTTCGACACCTAGAACAAGCTCAATAGAGATCCCAGACGCGTTTGTTTATTCTGTTTCTGGCCATTTGGCATATTCAGTGTCACTGTGTCACTTCTCCCTTTTTCTACTTACCGGAACCTCTAAAAATACATTAGCCTACGGGAGACAGTGTTACACAAATCTTAAAAATAAGCTTATGATTTACGACGTACCTTATGAAGGATGCGTAGATACATACATGTGGAATACGAAGCTACAGTGTGTTCAGAAGCTTATATATATATATAAATACAAAATTAGTAAATGATGGGGAGTTCGATAAGTGAATCTTTCGTACGGTCGGTGCGTTAAGCCAAACTCGTTTTTTGCGATCTCGATTGTTCCTGAATTAAGTGCGGCTGCCCAACTTTCAAGGACACAAAAATTCAATTCTTTCATAGTTCAATTAAACAATGATATAAAAAGTGTGGTTCTCACCTGGTCCAGGATATAATTTCGCCTGCGTCCTTTCGCGATTTCCAACAACTTTAGCACGCATTTAGCGCACTTGGAGACCATCGCATCCCACCGGCCCTCGTAGCTGGTTCGGAAGGGCTTACAGTCCACCTGAATCGATGCAACACTCATACAGTGATAGACCCGCGACCGGCGCGCCTCGCTTAACACTACTTACAAACTAAGAGAATAAGGGTTTGTGATACCAGGGATATTCCTCGCTGAGACGTCTACTACGCTCCTCTTCAGTCGGCGATCCACTGGTATCAGACAAATATCGAAATTCGACCTCTAGAGGTCTCACGTGTTTGTGGTATTTTTTTTTAGAAATTGTTTTGCTATTTTTTTGTATTATATTTGTTGATCATATTGCACCCTGTTGAAAATACAGACTATCATTAGTATCGATGTTTATATGTTGTTGATGTAGTTCATTTTCATATTTTGAAGTCAAACCTCATGGCTGAAAGGAAAGCATCATTAGTTATTTGTGTGTACAATGTGTTTGTGTGTTAGCAAAAAAACTGTTGAACGGAAAATAAAATAACTACCTCTTTCGAATGATACGTTATCAGTGTACTCGGTCATTCGATCTCAATCATTCGTCGTCTTTCGATATGCAATTATGAGTATGTAAAGTATAAGTTTTTGATCATTAACTATTTTGCTTGGGAATGCTACCACTTGCAAACTGAAATTAGACACACATGAACTTTTTAGAAGCTTGCATGTTGTAACTACTCACAATCCAAAATAATATATTACTTACTCAAAAGTAAATATAAACCGACACCTAATGTTTTGATGGAAATTATAATTCAGAAACGTTACGTGATTTTTCCAAAAAATCCTAAGATATTTTAGATTGCGTCCTACGGATATTGAGTCCTCTCAAGAGTTTATTTGATCCATTAACTAATAAAGCTTAAGACATTCGCATTCTTTTTAAATATGTCATTAATTAATTTTAATACATTTATATCTCAATTATGAAAACATTTAAAGATCTAAATATAAAATTAAAATAAATATATTGTTTTTGTATATCTCACTTCCTTAACATCACCATAATCAAACTTTTGATGTAGCCAATATGAGATATTCCCATTAAACTAAAACAGATAGGAAGGACTATACATAACCCACCATGCCGGTCAATCTCAAAATGGCGAGTGAACCACTTTTTGGGACTACAAAATTTCAACATTTCAACCTTAAAAAGTCAAACTTTTTAGCAAATAACTACATGTTCAGCTGTTAATCTTCCTTTATGAATCCCCCTATCATCCAAGTTTACGCCTCAAAGTTCATGTGCACCTCGACTGAATCAAACCAACAACGCATTATTTAAAAGAGGTTAAATTTACAAAAAAATGTCGCACGCGAATGAATTTTCATTATTAACATCATGACTCTCTTTTTACAAAATGAATAGTTTTTAGTTATTAAGAAAATTTTGCTTATAATAAAACAACTATACTTTTATTCGAGAGTTTAAAATCACAACAGTGTTGAATTCAGTTTTGTTTTGTTTAGTATAAAGTTTACACGCAAATAAACTTTTACAAATTATATTGTTTGAGTTTTTTTTTTAATAATCTTTCAAAGGCTTTAAATATAAAAAAATATTCAAAGCATTACAAAAAAACAACCTATCCATTTCGTCGTCAAGAGGTCGTATTGCATCACAAATACGTGAACAGTATGTGTGCGTAAGCTTAAATGTGTCATGTGTGGTGTGATGCGTGGTGATAGTGCAAACTTACCTTCATTTTATCGAACAGAGCGCCTGTAGAGACGAGGTTGTATCTCTTCTCTGGGTGGGCGGCCGCCTGTTGCTTCGCCCAGTAGGTCTTGCCGGATCCAGGCATTCCCACCATGAGGATAACCTGACCATACGTGGAATATGTTAGCATCAAGCCTGAGTACTATGTGAGGTGTGTATTGGTTTCTTGCAAGTAAGAGTTAATAGGTTGATAAGACAGGTGTGTCTTAAATAGGGTCGTGGCACCGTTTCTCATTCAGGCAGATGATTTGAAGTAAAATGAAGAACTGTAAATACATACATGAACTCTAAATAGGTTGCAATCGTTTTTATGGGCAGGCGTGTAAAAAGATGCCTACCTAAAATTTTACAGTTATCTTCACTGCATATTCCTTGTTAGGTAAGATGTGGGTAGACAAAGCATCCATGACAAGGTCATTGTATCCATGGCCATTTTATAGCGCGAAATTTGGTATTTTGGGTTTAAAGTATTAGTAGAGTACATGGTGTCCAATCATCTACAATGAAAGGATTTCTTTCGTTCCAAGCGCAAAGATTAAAGTACCATTCTAGATTACGATCACAACCCTGCACTATACATTTATTAATCGTTCTCCTCTACATATACAATAATAAATATTTCCAACAGTCACACCAATTAGCCTAGCCCCAAAGTAAGCACTGTAGGCTTGTGTCATGGGATACTAGGGTAACGGATAGAATACATATACTGATACATATATAAGCACATTTATATAGAAATACAAACATCCATGACTGGAGTGCAATTGCTTGTATTCATCACACAAACATCTGCCCCTACCGGGATTCGAACCCAGACCTCTCAAGTAGTCGATACCATGAAACCCGGCGTACAAACCACTCAGCCACGGCGATCGTCAAGACAATGTTTTAGTTATGTAAGAACTGGTGATTGCTCAGACTTGGTCTTATGTGCAATTACTCATCAAGTACATAAGAAAGCACTAGCACGAGCGAGCGACTTCGTCTGCTCACAATACTCGGTGTCCCATACACCTTAATTCTGTATCTCAAATCGTTAAAGTTTTATTATAGTGGCAAAAATCACCATTACGTCTCCAATGTACCCTTGATCCACATACAAAAATCTAAACTAACTGACGCCTAAAAGTTACACATACGTTGTTACTAAATTTAATTCGAAAACGATGTTTATAGGTCTGCTGCTTTAGTAACGCTGAGTTGTATGATCATTAAACGGAGCGATACTGCCCCTTATTTCTATTTTCGTGGAGGACACGTAAGGTAACCCTTAGATGGGTGAAAAAAAAATGCACACAAACTTGCTCCCGGTTCAATTCGATCCCTTTTACTATGTGAACACATGAATGCCGGAGTTCATTTTGGCAAATTCCACCCAAATCCGCTCAGCCATTTCGGAGTCATTTGAGTAACAAACAGATTTCGCATTTATAATATAAGTAGGTACGATAAATCAACATTTCTACTAAACACACATATTATCATAATACAACAGCTGACAGGATATGTTCATACATACACAACATATTAATTCCAAAGAAACTACATTTGATCTATTCAAAAAAGTTCAATGGTAATAGAGAACCAGTCAGTCCATTTACAATGGTTAGCAACTAAAATACCTCTTGACTAGTAGGGGTGCCCGCGACTTCGTCTGCGTGGAAATATTTCTTTCCCATACAAACTTTGAACCCCCGGTTTACTCATTTAGGGGGTGAGATTTGGAAAATACTTTTTTGGAGCACGTCTACATCATAATATATATGTGTGCCAAATTTCAACACAGTCCATTCAGTGGTTTGAGCTGTGCATTGATAGATCGGTCAGTCAGTAATGGTTGCTGTTTATATATATACAGATTATTTTTCAATGATAAATTATGCTTACCTATTAAAAGAGTCCACAAAATCATAAATTCAATGATTTGTAGAGGATCAAGTTGCAAGTATTAAGCCTATATAAATATATAAAAAAAACATTACAAAATGAGGATGGTTAAAGCACTATTTTCCCTCCAATAGGAACGTCCTGGTTGGGTAATAAGGGAAAATATAAAGAACACCATAATTACATTTAAAATCAGACAAACTCCGTACCTCCGATGTTTGAGGGTAAAATTTACAAATTGTGAAATATTAAAAAGTTGTATATTCTTTGCCCTATATATTTTTTAAGTTGGCTTAATTGCTTGTATAACGGCAATAGAAATACACATTTTGTGAAATTTTCGGTTGTACTTGTTACCATACAGCCGCTGGCTGATGGACAGAAGCTTAGTAAAAGGGTTCCGTCTAACCCAAACAAATCTACTTTTGACATTTATACTAATAGACTTTTTGCCCGCAACTTCATTGGTGTTGAGTTTAGATAAAATAAATCGCAGGTAAGTTGATACAGCATTCTATGAACTAATCCAGGCAATCAAATTATGCGTATGCCAAATTTAATATAAATCCGTTTATCTGTGTTTGCATGAAAACAAATATGCAAAACATTCATCAATAATATTGGAAGAATGGCCAAAATGTGGATTCCTACAGATAGTTTACGTGTACTAGCCATGTTAACAGATTGTATTTTATAAGTACCCTTCCAGGAATTCTAACGAATTATTTGCAAATAATGTACAAAATATTTTTCACACACAACAGCAACATCAGTTTTCGTGCTTTAGTATTAGGTACTAAAGTATTCACGAGGAGAGACATTTCTAGAACTAAAGCCAGCAGCTAAGAGTTCTTAGATAAGTCTTAAGTTGTATGTAGTCTTCATTGTAATAAGCAATGACAGCTCATCATAGTTAAGTGGTATATATATAAATAAGAAAAAACAAATACTCTTTTGTTTTTCTTTGGCTAAAAACCTAATTATTAACCAAAGCCTTCTTCAATTGTCGGCAGAGCATTAAAATAATATATTTATACTCGCTTCAAATGTTGAGTCCCTTCCCTGCTAGAAGCAACCTCAGGTAGTGTTTAGTCAGTAAGAGTGCGACATAACTTTACAGCCGGCTGTGGAATGCGAGATTTAACACTTGAAATATAGCTGAAAACGACGAATAAATCACGAACTATGGAGAGGATCAATTCACATGGAAAGTCATGATTTCAAATAAGATAAGGTTGTTACAGCTTCTTATAAATGTCGAAAAACAAAACCATCCGTTCGCAAATCTGCGGTGGGAAAACTTATACTAAAAAGAATAGGCAAGAAACTTAGCAAGGGTTGTTTTTTTACTGATGATGATAAAACCACTCCCAGAGTCATATAGTATTAAGAATTACTTTTGCGAAAACTGTGACTGTAGTAACAAGTTACTAACCTATTTCATGAGTAATGAAACTGTTACTTAGAAAACACTTTAACTAAGGTAGTTAGCAGCTGTGTCATGGAAGCACATGGAAGGTCAACAGCCTTCCATGTAACCAAAATAAATAAAAAAAAAAATAAGGGGACGCCTTTAAGATTTTTAGTTTGTTTTGTATTTATATTTCATGCTGTTGCAGCTACGAATTTGCATTAATTATCAGTGGTCAAAAAGGAAGTCCCGTGTAATAAATTCTAATTTAAAAGGCGTGAGAACGCCTGTAAATGTACCGTCAGTGACCGCGTGACGGAAATGACTATGTGTTATAAGCCAACTCTTTGTCTGCGCGGCGGTTACGTACTTCGTGCTATAATAACTCCTTTCTTCATCTCCCTCAAAGGGTAGCGTTCAAGTATTACGTAACGCAAAATTTGAAGATTTTTGATATATGAAATAGGGCAATATGAAAAATTAAGCCTAAATAAGGTTTGCTGAGGTGGTGAGCGCGTTCGGTCTGCAATCTTGGAAGTTAAGCAACTTCCGAAATGGCCGGTCTTCGTATGGGTGAGCAAAAGCTTATTGTCTGGCACTTCCCCGTGGTTAGATAGGAAACGTTAAGCCGTTGTTACCGGCTGCATCTGCAGTCGTTAGCACCCACTAATAATCCTGGGCAGTGGATCACAGTCACAGCCCGGTCTTCCTTTCCATCGATAATGAAGGCCTGCTGGGGCAGCAGTCGGCTTATAAAAAAAGCAATAATATGGTATTTGACTACTATTTGAATACGATCTCACGTTATGTATTAGTGTTTATAGACTCCATAAAAAGTGAGATTTTTTATCTTCCAGTTGTATATTTCAGTAAAATAAGGAAACAAAAAAATCTGCTTTCAGATGTAACGCTAAACGTTTCTCTGGTTAATATGGCGTGTTTATCTGTGTGCGATGCCATCATTGATTGTCGGGTGCGGGTAAACGCACCCGTCAATCAAACGTCAAACGGAACAAGTAATATCACTTTGACCGGAAGTTTACGGGCGCGTGTGTGTTACGTCATTTTAGGCTTCGCCAATCGCAGACGGTTTTGGTTACGTGTCAATAGGTAAAAAAACCCTTAAAAAGTCACTCAAGGGTTTTCCAGTAAAATTACGAATAGTAACCCCTGAGAACATTCATTCCAAATACAGAAGCCAAAATTGGCACTTTATTTTTAATACTGTCCCTATAGACCAATGATAATGGTTACTTAATACAACTAATAATGACTAATTAGTACATAAAAGTGAATGTAATCAACATTACCTCGCATTGAGCCCTGTCTTCGGGTCGCCGGGGCCCGGGAGTTAGAACAGCGTGGCAGATGAACGCGTATCCGGGAACTAAGCAAGCCTCTACGCCGTCCAATTCCTCGTCTACGGTATACCTGTATTATAAAAGACTTCATATATAGCATTAGCAACACGTAATTCTTATATGTGTCGTTTAACCAACGTTTATGACAAGGAGTTCTCTGATTAGGATCTTTGTAATCTAATTATTAATAGTTTAAAAATAAAACTAAATGGTATATTGATTGAAAACCCAAAAAAATAGTTTTTATGAAAATTTATTTTATATTATTTTATTTTAGGTAAAGAAATTGTTTAGCATTAGATGAATACACGTGTATATCTGACTATGTTAAAACTCTCTTTGCTACTGTAACTGTAAGCTTTGGGTACTGTTTGGTCTATTAATATTTACATATATGCATGTACCTCAATATTATGTAAATGACTGTTTGTTGCCAAAATAAATAGAAAAAAAAATAGTTTAAAACAAAAAGCGAAGCTGCGGCACTCAAAAGTGTACCGCTTAAATTACCTATTGCTTTTGCTTAAATACCCTAGGGTATTTAATATCGTTCAGTTTCGGCCACGAAGCTCCGTAAGATGATCGCGTTGTCAAAAACAATATAAGCATTTTTTACACATTGAAAGTCACCTTTAATTCATACTGTATAAGGTCTTAATTAAAACGCATGCGTCAAAGAGTTTTATACAATTTTACGACTTATTGCTATATGCGGAAGAATATAGACCTTATTTCTTTGACTCTACGCGAAATTATAATTGCGCTGTTAGCGCGAGGAAAAGAGACGGCTATATAACCGACCATGCATTTGGATATCACAAATACTTTCTATTATATCAGTTTATGGTATTAGAACAAAATTTGCTTCAAATGCGTATAATTACCAAACATTGATTAGAAACCTGTTGTAAAAACGACACTTTAAGTATTATAAGTATTCTTTTCACAGAGCTTTGCGGCATCTTGACTATTCAACGGTCCGCGAGTGACTGGGAACCGAGAAGAGCTCGAGTGGAGTTCAAGCACTTCTTGATTTGGACATATTTTGAGCGCATGTGGTGTATCTTTTTTTTAATATAGTCGAGTTTGACATAAGATATTAAAAAGTTAAGTTATGAGTTATAACTTGGTAAATTAAGAGAGGTTTTGGAAAATTATTTAGGCAAGATTTTAAAATAACCCACCAAGTTTAACATTATGTTTAAACATACGTCAAATATGCGCAATATTACTCACCGTATAACGAACTTAACACGCTTGTCCAAAAGAACTTGACCTTTCAGCACTTGCTCTTCGGTCACCTCTTGGACTTCACCTTCCGTCGATTCTAAGGAAAAAATTGTTAATTACTCTAACGGTTCGTACTCTATTAAACCCTTTCATAAGATAACAAGACGGAAATCTTCTTTGTCTTCAAAATAGTTCAAATATTATTGTATAAGGCAGGGAAAAGGCACATAGGCAAATAGGCACTGCTGTTTGAACAAAAAGTCTGCTGTAAACAATCTTTTGTAAATTGTACACTTAAACTTATGGGAAAAGCGGGAAAAACTCAAAATTTAAAGGCTATCAATATTTCTGTACCTGGCAACTTGGATTTGACTTCCGCGTTAGCATCTGTCTCCATCGGTTCAGCTTTGACTTCTGGTTGGCTCTCTTCCGCAGGTTTGTCCTTGTCACCGTTCTCCTGTAGAAAAAAAAAGAGGTTTGTTAATTATAAGGAATCTATAGTAATTTTATAAAGAGGCACAGTTAAATAAATAAATATTTCCAACACTCACAATAATTAGCCTATTAGTAAGCACTGTAAGGCTTGTGTTATGGGATACTAGGGTCACGGATAGAATAAATACACTGTACATATATTTATATAGAAATACATATTAAACATCCATGACTGGAGAACAAATGCTTGTATTCATCACACAAACATCTGCCGCCACCGGGATTCGAACCCGGGACCTCTCGAGTCGGCGACACCATGAAACCCGGCGTACAAACCACTCGGCCACGGGGGTCGACAAAAGTTGGAGGTCATCAAAAGTTGGTTTGTTTGTATGAGGTAATCTCTTAAACTACTTAATTGATTTAAGAAAATTTTTCAGCAAAGATAGCATTATTCCTGCACCATATGGGCATAGTGGTATGCAATATAATATTAAGTTTTAACTGGTAAATTATATTGCTTTCATAATTAAGCGTGATATATACCTATCGTATTTTTTTTTCAATTATTTACAATATTAAGTAGAGTATTATCTATATATTTTTTTTGTTCTAAATATCATATTATAAGATATCTATTATTTCCTTGTATTGGTAATAAAGTACCGTCTGCTACATTTTAAAATAAATAATATCTATAACATCTCAAAAACCTAAAAAATCACCAGGGGTATACAATCAAAGTCAATAAAAAGTCCACAAAATTTTAAAAGTGAGTTTTTTATTACAACACATTCATTTCCATATCTAGATTTATCCCGTAGAATAATTTTATACAAATTCTAGAAATCTCGACTGTTATTTCGAATTAAAAATTGACTTTACAAACAAACGTAACAAAGTCGAAGTGAATTGTGTTTCAATTTGCGTAAAGTCCTTTTCGACCAATAGGAAGGCTTAATTGCCTCCATTTCACTGACAGCAGTCATGGCCGCCTTTGATGTTGTAATGCTCTTTTGTTGTGTAACAGTTGCAAACTTAGTAAAGTCCAAAACTTGGTAACAAAACTGGAAAAGTCCATCTTATACTTAAGGTTTTACTCAAAAGTATTGAACTGAACGTGATGAACAGTTGTATTTCCATAATGTATTACATTCTGCATATAAATAATGTTTAACATTAGAATAGTTACTTGTAATTATTAAAATAATCGTTTTTATCGTTTACTGATTTTTTTGGCAATGTGGACTTTATCAACTTTGATTGTATACCCCTCTTATAAAGCTTCTGATACTGAGGAATAGATTTTATTCCAAGTAAAATATTTATATTTAATTGTATTACATATAATTAAATTGTTATTTTATTTCTATATATTGTAATTCTGTAAGTAAATCCAATACTAAATTTTATTTATATTTAAATGTTATATTGACCTTTGGCTGCTCATCCTCCTTGTTGGTTGATTCATCTTGATTTTCTGCCTCTTTTTCCTTCTCTCCTTCTTTTTCTTTGTCCGCCTCTTTTTCTTTCTCTTCACCCTTTTCTCCATCTTCTGCCTCTTTCACTTCTTCGCCCTTGTCTTTCTTCTCTTGAGCTTCTTTTTCTTTACGCTCGCGTTCTAGTTTTTCTCGTTCCTAGAAAAAAAGTTTATTAAAAACACAGAACAATTATATTAACCTAATTTCAAAAGCGTTTATTACTTCGTAATCTTCCATTTTATATTTTTTGTAAAACAAATATTAGTTATTTAGACAATTACTGTCGTTTACAACTTTTTTGATCACTTGTTATTTTGCTTGCGATCTCAGATGCTAATAGAGCACCCAAGAGTAAATACAAAATATTTTTATTATTCCTGCATCATTTTCACAATGTTATCGATTGGACAACATGTGAGATAATAAAAATGCAGGTTCTTTTATGCAAGTGGGCATTAAACAGGATTAGCTTTAAAAGATGTTCTACTTTGTTACTTGGAAACACCCCATTAAATAAATATTAACCAATAGCTTATTGTTCACACATCACACTATACTACGAAATGAAACATCTAACTTAGATTAACATCGCCCTTGTCCACTAATTTTATTGACAATTTACTTTTTTATAAAACGATTAAACATTATGCTCAGAGGATGTTAAATATACAGTTTTTTTAACCCCCGCATTATTGATTATTTTAGACTGTATGCAAATATCTAAGGCTCGTAATATATATTGTTTAAACAAAATAGTGATGATTAACCAACCTCTCTCTTCTTCCTCTGTCTCTCCTCTCTTTCCTTCTTCTCCCTCTCCCGTCTTTCCCTCGCTTTTCTGGCGATCTCCTCCTTCTGCCGCTGCAGTTCATCTTCGATCTTCTTTTTCTCCTCAATGACTTGCTCGATGGGGATCTCAATGCGATTACGTACAATCTTGGTTTTAGACAGCATGTTGTACCTTAATAATAAAAGAGTAAAAGGTTAGTTATTTGTTATAAAAAATTAAAAAACTAACGAAACAGATTTACATTGGAATGATCTGAGAGGAATTATTGAAAAGTTCAGATTTTACCTCCTCTACCTCGAGATTTAATAAACGAAAGATTCTGACTTAAAAGATTGATCAGACGCAAATAACGAACGCAGCTACTGAAAAAAAAACATGAAAATCCTGGGCATTGGCAGAATCGTCAATGCGAGGCAGCCATAATCAACAAAAACTTAATTATATTATGAAATATTTAATAAAATAAATATGCCTATCTTATTTTTTAGTTTACTAAATCTTAATATTGATATAATAACACAAAGTGATACAAACAAAGCTTGAAATAAATGCAATAAAATGCTATTAAACAAAAATTGTGATTATATGTATGAGTACGATGTATTCATCATTTGTATTGAAATTGTTATAACCTTATCGTTGCATCCCTATTATAAGTATTATTTTCTGGGCTTATTATTATCCATCTTCTACGTCTATGATTTCCTAGATATACAAGTATCTTACCAGTTGCATCCCATGTTGACCTTTCCTTTTATAAGTATCTTACCTGTTGTATCACATGTTGACCTTTTCTCTTATAAGTATCTTACCTGTTGTATCCCATGTTGAACTTATATCTTAAAGTATCTTACTTACCATTTGTATCCCATGTTGACCTTTCCTCTTAAAAGTATTTTACCTGTTGTATCCCATGTTGACCTTTCCTCTTATAAGTATCTTACCTGTCGTATCCCATGTTGACCTTGTAGCACATATTCTTGGTAAGTACGTGCGGGAATAAAGCTTTTCCACCCAACGCTTCCTTTTGGAATTCGAAAGCGACGCCTTGCTCTACCCCGTTTACTGTGTACGAGATCTTGCATGGGGTTGATTCGAGATCCTGTTAGACAAATATATAGATTTAATTTTTGATTATAGTCACAAATAAGCAATATCAATAACTGCTTTATGTGTTCGCGCTTAAACTACGCGCGGGAAATACTCAAACCGCCAAACACTGCCGAATGATCACGACGACGGCCGACGGGCGTTGTCGGCAACAATAGTTTTTGTTGTTATAACGGCTCTTGAGAGGAGACAAGAAACAAGGATTTTACTCGCTTCGTTTGCTTTCATATAGATTATAATTTACTAATATTAGCAAATCTGTAATTAACAAATTTATTAGAATAATAAATGCATGTAAGACAATCAAGATTGGGATTGTTATTTCCTGGAGTTAACACTTATGTTTAAGCTTTATCTTACTGAACATAAGATTGACAATCAATTGGAAAAATAATCAAAGCATTTATCTGCTAGATTTCAAAAATTTACTAGAAAAAAGTACATAAGGTTCTCGCTTCAGACAGAATTCGCAAATTTCGGTTTTGCATAAGTATGACATTTTGAACAATCTTAATGTTAATCGCCTAAAGTAGTGTTATTCAGCTTGCGATCTCACGTGAAATTGTTCATATGAGAGTAAATACTAAATAGTGATCTACCTACAAGCAACTCACAGCTCATATTAATGAACAATGGAATATGTTGCAGTAGGAAAACTAATACATTTGTAATGGTTTTTGTGATACGAAAGTAAGGTGGCAAATTATTTTGATGGAGCAAATGGCTAGTAACATGTGTATATCTTTAATTTTAAAGTCCCTTTTAGGATTTTATGATGAAATCAGAAATTAGTTGTTGTTGTATCAGAGAAGTCCAACTTTTAACTTTGAGTAGTTGTTGCTGTCACTTTCTTCATAACAAAAGACTAAAAAGTTACCAATGGACATTGGCGTATTTCTATTATTTAAAATATACTAACGAATACTGACAAATGGAACCAAATTGTCCTTACCTTTTGCCAGAGGCTGATGATTCAAACTTGTAGTTAATGCAGAATCAAATTAACTAGAGCTTTCCGAGCATTGTAAACGTTATTATTAATCACCAAACACATTAACATACACAGTAAAATAACACTACCTGTTGGTGGTGTTGTGGTTCTGACGGTGAGTAAGGTTCCAGGGCTCCACGGAATTGGGGATTGGGTCAGGGTAGGCAACGGTGTAAGTGATATTGTTTGTATTGCAAGCGTCTATAGGCTATGTTGGCCGCTTACCATCAGGCGGACCATATGCTTGTTTGTCACCCTTTAAGGGTCGGTACATACCTGACCGAAAATACGTCGCGTATTATCAGTTGCGTAACGCCAGAACAGGGAAATCTATATATATATATATATATATATATATATATATAAATCATTTGCTGTTCGTTAGTCTCGGAAACGGCTGGGCCGATTTAGCATTAAAATGTTTGTCGTAGTCCAGGGAGTTTCAATGGTGAGAAAATATGGAAAAAATTCGAGTAAGATAGTAAAAATACAATTACATTTTTCCATATAAACTGTTCTATCTATTCCTGTCAAACATTTGACCTTCTTCGTTGATCATTTCTTCCAAATTATTGTAAGCAATACGAAGTACGCTGGGTCAGCTAGTATACAATGAAACATTCAACCTTTCACACCCAACTGAAGATGCGTTAGTGCGTCGAGCATACAACGATGATACGCTCGACGCATTTTCCGTTAGATATGTAACATTAAATAAACAAACTTTACTTACCAGATAAACGCCGACAACGTCCTTCTCGTGCAATTGTTGTCCGTATTCTTTAAACTCGCAGTTGTTTACGGCGCGCGCTGAGCTCTCGTAGCCCCAACTATGCTCGCCATCACCTGATTACCAACGCGAAATCAAAATATAGGGTAATTGACAAGTTATAGAAAACGATCAAGCAAGCGCACATTGACCCACTAGTGGCTCAGTCAAGCTACACGCAGCTATACATCAAGGCCGCTAGTGGCTTAATGGCGGCCCCTGTCTCTGTAGCATGGGCACCACAATTTGCATTATATCACGTTTTTGATGTGTAACATCTTTCCTCTCGCTTTCGTGCAATTTGTGGCAGTGATTACGTGAAATGGAACGGAAGTGTGTAACAGGAAGTTTGGGAAGCGCGCGCTATTTGATTTGATTTTAGAACATAATGTTCAAATGGCTTATTCCTTTTGTAGTCGGTTTTATTTCTTTTTTTACTAATATAAGGTGGGATTTCAAATGTTACACATCATACTTGACTACTGTAAGGCTCGCTGGTTTTCTTTTATCGCGTCTAACAGTCAAACTCCATAGTAATTTGACAATTGAGCGTGATAAAAACATGGTATATATTATAACGTGGTGCTCATGCTAGGGGGCTGGAACTCTTAAGTTTGCGTCGACGCCGAAGACTGGTAAAAATATTTTATTTAGTGGGTCATAAGGTTGATTTCACATTTTCCTTTTTTCACCTTTATCGTTTCTTTCCAAGTATCAGATATAATTTATAAAAGAAACAAGAGTTCGTTTTTTAAGATAACAGGTCGTATGTGAGTTATAACATTGTTATTTTTTACCTTACTCCTTTGTGGGATAGTTGTTATTAGGTTCAACTAAAACTGTTTAAAAACATTTATTTTTGTTCATTGGGAATCGAATGTAGCTGCATACGATTAAATATACACGGACAGTTTTTAGCTTTGATTTTTTATGCAACTGGTTATCTATAGAATTGTTGATCGAAGCAGCCAAATACATAGAATAGACTATAAGTCACTCCCCTGATACTACCACCTGATCAATCAAAATTAAAAAATAGAGAATGTTTTGAGTGACACTCGCGTGAAATTCACAAATCTCTAAAAAAGAAAGTATATCGGATAAGATCGCTTCGTCTATGTCACTTTTATCTGCTCAAATTTACTTTAAATTTGGTTGGGAAGCCCTCAGGCCGTTTTCTATGTCTATAAGCTGGAGTTAGGACGTGAAAGGTGTAAAGATATAGATAGATTCTTACCAAGATGCAGGGTGGAATCATCGGTGGACCATCCGAGTCTCAGACCAGAAACAATAGGTTCTTTCTCCGAGCTCTCCGTAGTGGTCACCACTCCACCTACGCGAACCTAAAAATACGCATCATATTATTAATGTTTTCTTCATCATCATCAGCCTATTAATGTCCCCACTGCTGGGGCACAGGCCTTCCCTATGGATGGAATAGGGAGATTGGACCGTGACCTACCACGCGGGCCCAGTGCGGACGCTAACTACTGCAGATACGGCCGGGACCAACGGCATAGTACATTTTTGGTCACTCATCCAATGACTGAGCACTGCAAAGTTGCTTAACTTCAATGATCGCAACCGAACGCGCTAACCACTTGCGCCATTGAGCTCCTTATTAATTGATATTCTTATAACTAATTAACTGTTGAGATTAATTTGCGGTGTTACATATTATTATGTATATGTCAGTGTTCTAAATCATAAAATACTTTTTAGAAAGAAACTTTCAAAACATTTCCTCTGTTACTAGCCGATTTTGACATTTTAAAGGATGTCCCAATTAATTCTGAGGAGCTGTTCTCCCTTTTTTTCAATCTTGATTCTTATAATCCGTGGTCCTTGAAAAGACGCGTCAGAAAGAAATAGCTTTTGTGCAGGCAGGCAAGGATAATTCAGTGTGGCAGTTCAAAACTGCTGTATCAGCTATCTTTGCATTTAGATTTTACCATCACTTAACATCAGAAGGGGTAGTCTTCCATCTAATCTATACTAATAAAGAGGAAAGAGTTGTATTTTTGATGATGAAAAACTCAAAAACTGGTTGATTTCAAAAGCTTTATTACATTATGCCTGAATATCATATTTTATATCGTTAAAGCAAATTTCGTCCGTGCCAAGCCGGGACGGGTCACATGATATAAATGTCGAGGAAGATTTCATAAATCGAATTTTCGCGAAAATCCCAGGGATTTTGGGAAAACGCTTATAATTAGGAGACGGCGATGACATTTCTCCATCTCACTAAAAAAATATATTTGCAAAAACGCGAGTCGCCTCAGTAAGATTGCAAAAGCAATCGTTTACCTATTATACAAATTCTCGGGTATATGGCTTTTTGGGTTTCAACTAGATTTGGTTAGATTAGTGTCGTGACCATAACGCGCGACCTTAGATAGATTGAGATTGCTCAATTTTACTCGCCATTGTTTAATTATGCGTGTTTTCATAAAATTCCTAGGATTTTCGCGAAAATTCGGATTATCAAATCATCCTACGACATAAATAAAAGCAAATAAATTGTGTTTCTGTGCAAGTGTCAAAAGTCTTCTATTATTATTTTCATACACACCTCATAGCAAACTCTTCCGTTAGTAATTCCATGAGAAGCTCTTGATCCAGCCCAAGCGTAAGAGAAGGCCCCTTCGCTCAACGGCACTACCCCATTCAAATCTGGCAGCTCCAAGTACTGATTCAAGTCGCTGTCATCTACGTATATAGACAAACACACTAATTGATAACGGGCTCCTCTATAATCACTAATTGTTATATTAATAGGCTAGTTGAGACTTTTATGAAATATGTTATAAATGGTTAATAATTGTTCTATTAGACCGAAATAAAATGTATTGTATTTTTTTTGACCTAGAAAGCATTATTATTATTTAAAAATTGAACAATGAAATAACCGAACGCTCAATAAAAGTCTTTCGAAGGTAGATCGACAAAATTAAATAAAAAAATATTCTGACGAACAACCTGTAAAGGCTGCGAAACGTCAATAAATAAATAAAGTTTCGTGCATTAACCGTATGATTGCATTATACGAGAATGTAGAAACACATCATTAAAGACCCCAGAAAAGTTGTGGTTTAAATTGCCTAGAGAAATACACAAACCTACACATGAACACATGTTTAAAACTTGCTAAATCCTGTAACTTTATCATCTGAAAGTCATTTCTTTTAGCAAAGTCAAATGTAAGTTATTGAATAATATTTAAAGTTTAAAAATGCAATATTTAAGGTTATGAATGTACTAAGTCAAAGAGTTTTGTCGTTTCTGCTTTCACAAATCCGGCATCCAGCATCAATTTAACAGAACCAATAAACGGAAACTTTTTTACAAGATAAAAGATTTTTTAGATATATTTTAGTCTGACGAAAGAAACTACAGTAACACGACACTGACGTTTAGTTGTTTGCAAAATTTTTCCTCTGACAAAAAGTCCCCCGAATACCCGATATTTAAACACTTATTTAAAAAATAAATAAAAGATTAACTGAACTAAATGCGGGTAAGATATTATTGGAAGACATATCAGTCTACCCATAGATAAAGTCTATTATAGCATTTATATTGTTTTAAACTTTCATGGTCACTAACATCACGTGAGGACGGGTTTAAATTGTCAAGTGTCTGGAATCCTGTGGTTTGTATGTGTAAAACCGGAAATAATCAAAAAAGTGTCGTGTCGCGATCCGATACTGTAAGTGTTGTGTGTCGAGAACAGTTTCGAGTGAATAGTGAGAATGTGAATAGTGGTACGGGTATCGAACGCAATAAAAGACTTCGTCGGAGGGTAGACCGAAGTCTGCCAATAACAGCCTATCCGCAATTACTTCAGTTACTCCGTGATCATGGCGCTTGCAACAGGGCCGAAATATCGGAAACTCGCTAAAAACAAGGTACATGGTAACAATCCCGTAAATAACTTATATTACTATAATTATTGTATTAGTCACCAAAAACCATGGAATATTATAGTAATGCTTGATATTTTACTAAAACTTTTTTTAAATAGACGTTTATGTCTAATACCTAACTTGAATGAAACTACACATATCAAATGATCAATAAGACAAGGTATGGACGAACTAATTGACTAACTTCAGTTAATTTCTGGAGATTTAGAAAAGCTGTTATTTTACAAAACGTTGTCAACTTACATTTAAGAAAGCCAGTTGAAAAACTGGATTTGGTAAGAATCTATTGCCTAACTTTTTTTTGGAAAAATTTACTTGCTCCTTAGATACTTTTGCTGAGTATAACTAAAACAAGTCATAAATTCAAGTTCAAATTCTAAATACTTACACCAAGACAAGGTAATTTTCTCATCATTCAATTCTGGCTCAGGCACTTTGACTTCTACTGCATCCTTCTTAGATTTTAAGACTTCACTCTGTAAACAATCATTTACTTTCAATATTGTTCATAATAAATATGACTAATTATTTCATGAAACATCACATGAACAATAGAAAATGTTGTATGAGTATACGTAAATTGGTCACTTAAATAAAACCTTATTATTGTCAAATTGAAGAATTCATAAATTAATCGTTATTTAGAATATCGCTATTTTGGCCCCCTTATTTTTTATAAAATTACAAAGCTTTGACGACCGCTTGTTATTAAAAGAACATTAGTTACTATGTGAATTACACTGCAAAAGCAAGACCTAGGTATTTTAAGCACTTCCTACATGAGCAATTTATCAGTATAAGCCTTAGACACTTTACAGACCATAGGATATAGGATGTAAATATAAACATAATACCTATCGCTAGTGTTCCAAATAAAATGGAATTGTGCGTGTGCATGGGTGTTTGATCGTGAATTTGTAAATGATAGTATAGTTTTGTCAAGATATTCTTAAAACACGGGATACCACATAACACAAACTGAATTGTATAAGCACAATTGTTTTCTTAGTTTCACAGGATTTTGTAATAAACTTTATCAAATTACGGTTTGACACTATTTTCCTCACTCTGTCAGTCTTTAAATATTAAGTCTATTGTACAGACTTAAAATAGGTCATATTTTAATACTGTCAGCGCCATATTGTTTAGCAATAAAAGTTAAATTCATCATTTAATTATAATCCAATCGGTCGTGAATATACTAATGATAAATACCTCTACTGGTGGAGTCAGCATTTCGTTGGTGACTTCAACTGTTTTGTAGAAGTTACTCCATCTAGCTTTCTTCTCTCGCTTGCGTTTTAGGCGGTTTAATTTCACGGGGTTCTGAAAGAAATAATAGTAAACAAAATGTCACCAGTACAAAATTAGGGAATATAAAACGAAGCAGGGTCTACTTACCACGTAACTACATTGATAGTACTTTTAAATTTTGCTATTAAGAGACTTGTCATACCGCGCTAATGGCTAAAGTTTTCTATTTTCTGGTGTGTCAATGCTGCAGAATCTATCAAAATTTATGTCTCTTCTTTTTTTTAATTGTTTGGATATTTGATTTTCAACAGAATATTTATTTTATAAGGGCAGTACCAACTCTAATGGCTGATTTTAAAAGGGGAAATTTGTGTTAGTGCATAATTATTTATAAGGATCAATTGAGGAGAGTTCGTTCAAAACTATTTACATCAGAATGAATTTTACAGAAAATTCCAAAAACAAATAATTAAAAACGCCTAATATATAGAACAATTTTGTGTGGTACACTTTACAAGATATAGTTGTCTAATCATATTTATGAACAAATATTTTTTGATACTTTGTTTATTATTCTTTTAAAAAATTAAGAAGTTCCTAGATCCTGATTGTAATCGTAATTCAGGCACTTATTCATCAGCAACTCCCAAGCCCTCCTGTATATGTCATAAAAGTGCCACAAAATCTTGGTTGCACTGTGTAAATGTATTACAAAAGTCCTCTAAAGTAAAGAGAAAACAAAACATGGCATGACTCACATCACTGACTTCGGCCAATTTCTTGGCATCTTCTTCAGCTTGCCTCCTCTCTCGTTCCAAGCGTTCTTGTTCTCTGATCTTTAGCCGCTCGTTGAGTTGCTCCCATTCTTCTTCTTCTGTCAATTCTCGAGGCTGTGCCATAAAATACCATGACAATCCATTCATCAATATCATTTAAGAGAGGAAAGCGGATTTCCAGCTCGCATTGGAGCGCCCGTCTGTATAACCTCCACTCTAAAATAACACTACCACTTGGTGGTGTTGTGTTCCTGTCGGTGAGTAAGTTTCCAGGGCTCAGGGGATTGGGTCAGGGTAAGCAACGGTAGAAGTGATATTTTTTGTGTCGCAAGTGACCATAGGCTATGGTGGCCTCTCACAATCAGGCGGGTCATAAGCTTGTTTGCCAGCCTTTTAACATAAAAAAATATTGATGTCCCAGCTGATGGGACGCAGGCCTTCCCTATGGACAAAGTAGGGAGCTAAAGACTGCAGTTGCAGCCGGGACCAACGGCTTAACGTGCCTACCGAAGCACGGAGTAGCTCAAAAAATGAAATTTTGGCCACCCATCCAATGACAAGCTAATGCCAAAATTAGATTAGATTTTCATTCTGTCTTAACTTCAACAAACGCAGACCGTCGACGATTTCCAAATTAACGCACTAACCAATTGCGTCATCGAGATCCTTAAAACTAAACTGGTGACCGCCCGCGATTTCGTTCGCGTTAACTTTAGTTTTTGGAAAAAGCTTCAGAAACCTAACACTTTTCCTGGATAAAAATTATCCTATGTCTACTTCCAGGTTATAAGTTGTTTGTTGTTGTTGTTGTTAAATTTCATCCAAATTCGTTCAACCGTTTTTGCGTGATTGAGTAACAAACATAAAACATAAATACTTTCCCATTTAAAGTATTAATAGAACAAAAAATTCTTTTTTACTAAAGTACAGTAACATTATTCAAAATGGGTAGTACTAAGTTCATGACTTTTCTGATCTGTATTTATTTTTCCTTTTCCTCCCTTATTAATAAAGAGGAATAAAGCGTAGACTAGTTAAGCCATGTTTTGTTCATATCAATCAAATGCCAATTTGTAATGCAACAAACAGAGACAAAATCATGGAGTACCTTATCCAATTTTATTCTTGGTTTATTTATAAGGGGGTTAAAATTTTGTGTTTAATACAGCAATGAACAATTATGTATAACACCCGTACCCGTTCTTCTTTTTCCGCATCATCCCCTTTCTCACTCTCATCTTCTTCCATTTTCTCCGGTTTCTCTGCCGAAGCAGGTGCCTCTTCTTTCTTTTCACCCTCTTGGACTTCCATTGGTTCTATAAAGTGTTGCCTTATTAAATAAACAGGAGAGGTAGGGCATAGCTGATAGCCCGCTCAAATGGAGCACACCCTTCTGGGAAAGTTACCTCCACCTTACAGAAGATTACAGTAAAAAACAATACCTTTTGGTGGTGCTGTTTTTCTGTTGGTGAATAAAGATTCAGTGATCCACGGGTAAGGGGATTTAGGCACGTGCAAGTGATATTTTTGGTAGCGCAAATGTCTATAGTCTATGGTGGCTACTTACCATTTTCCTACACCCTTTTAACATAAAAAGCACTTAAATTTACAAACATAGCTAAATGTGTGCCTATAAGTTTATAATCCAAAATATGTCAAAACTGTGATTGTATGCCTTTCTATGAACGACCACACACTATTGATGTTATCAGAAAAGATTGTTATAAATTAACAACTAAACCTATTCGATTTGTGGGCCTAATAAATTGGAGAGATTTTCTGATAAATCAATCAAACAAAATAAAAGGTTATCAATTTAGAAAAACAGTACCCTTAACACGAACCCATATCGAATTCGAACCCAATACGAAACAAATGTCAAGAAGTTTTGTATGAAAGATTTTGATTTCTCGTTATGTGTGTTGTAGTGCTTAAATTTACATATAAAAACCTTCTTGACTTGCCGCGTATAATGATCGTATTCCACATTGGTTCGTGCTAAGAGTTCAGTTTAAATATGTAAGAAACTTTGTACTCACCATCAGATTCCTCTTCCTTTATCATCACTGGAGACTGACTACTACTAAAAAAAGAAAACAAATATTTTAATAATATATTTTAGCTACTATATTACATTTTTTAAAGTTTTTAGTTTTAGCTTCATTGTTCTAGTATATATATTTTTTTGTGTTTAATTATTATATAAGCTCCTATATAAATTCAAAAGTACACTTAAAAAAAACTTCATTAGGGAGGAAAGCAATCCAAATAAACCACACAAAGAAAAGGGCTCATGTTACACGCAATGTGTGCACGCCTCTAATGTCAGATTGTATCAAAGCAGTCAATGTGTGCGTGTGTCATGTCAACAAGCATATCTACCATATGTAGTAGATATTTTTGCGCCGCTTTCGTGCAGTTAATACGGTATCTAGGATGTATATAATCAAAGTTTATATCTAAAGGAAATTCAACTTAGGCTGGAATCGAATCAGCACCCTTTAGTATGTCTTACATGCATTAATTAATTATTACCAAAATTTGTTTATTTGTTATTTTGTGTTGTGCATATTGTTTGTCAGCATTGTCAATGTTTGCTGGTTTCAAATAAAGCAGAACATTTTCAGCCTGTCTGTTCTGTTGAAAAACAGGACTCTTCTCACACAAAACTTTTCTCGGATCTCATTACCAGCCTATTAATGTCCCCACTGCTGGGGCACAGGCCTTCCCTATGGATGGAATAGCAAGATTGGGCCATGACCCAATGTAGATTGGTAGGTGCTACCGACTGCAGATGCAGCCAGGATCAACGGCTTAACGTACCTTCCGAAGCGCGGAAGAGCTAGAGATAGTAAACTTTTTGGTCACCCATCCATAACCACTTGCGCCATTGAGTAATACTACAAAATGTTTAAAAAAAAGAATTGCTGAATTACTGGCTATAAAATATTAATTTTCATTAAACTTACATTAACATTTATTTCATGCCTTATCACTACCACACATGGACCATATTAAACATTTCTTAATAATTCTCGTCAAAACTCACTTGTCATCATCAATGGAATATATCTCCGAAGCGGCCGGTTGTTGCTGCTCCTCCAGCGGTTGTTCCTCAGACGACTTCTTCTGCACGGGCGCTGGCACCGGCGCCGGTACTGGAACAGGTTCAGGCTCCGGGTCCGGTTGCCGGACCTGTTCCGGCTCGGGCTCCTCTTTCACCTCTTCGACGATCGGCTCAGGCGGTTCCTCGCGAGGCACCTATGTGCAATGAAGTCTCGAATACATTACGGGTCAAATATGTTGCGGAACGCTGCGCGCAACTACTACTTGCAATGTCTCGGGTCAATGTTGCAAAACATTTTGTCGGCCACATTAGCAACACTAGTCAGTGCATATAGAAATGTCGCATGAGGTTGTGGTTGGGTATTACACTTATTTCGGGAGAGAAACGTAAGCAAAAGAGGTGGTGGATGCGCAATTTCATTTAATTTGTTGAAAGGTACGATGCGCTCACGACTATACTCTGTCACAAACGGCGAGACACTGTGGCGGGACTAGTGATGTGACCAGAGAATGTTCTCCAATCGAGAACAACAACATTCTGAAATGTTTCCGTTCAACCGAGAATGTTCTCGGTACACTGGAAATTTATGAGAACTTAAAATGATGTTAATTTATGTAGAATAAGAACGATATAGTTTCAAGTTTTGTAATTAAATTAGTTCGTTTTGTACCATAACAACTTATTCAAATTACAACAACACCAAAGGGTGCCTCGGCGATCGGCTTTATTGAAGTTGAACCTTTGAATTCCGACAAACGACACGCGCCGCGCGGCTCTTTGTGATTTCTGCTCCCGCACCTCCCCTCCCCGTCTTGCTGCACGCGACGCTCGGTTAACGCACATGCTAGTACAGACTCGCACCGTAAAGTATTCGGACGTGATCAACAAAAGTGCCTTGTACGAAACAGAATAAAAAAATATATATTGAAAATGAAACCAAAGGGAAAGATTTATAATTATTATAAATAAATAGATGAAAATGGAAAAGTGTTGTATATATGCGAATTTTGTAATCAAAGTTACAAAAATCGAAATGCAACAAGAATGACTAATCATTTAACGAATAATTGTAACAAATGCCCCGACGTTATAAAATCGACATTTAGTTTATAAAGCATTCTCAGAATTAGATGAGTTGATACAAAATCCAACAGGGGCAGAAATTCTAGGGACTAATTTTCACTCTACGTTAAAACTAAAATATGAACAAAGAAAAAAGATATCATTAATGCCAATACATTACGCTGCGACGTTGTTAGATCCTCGGAATCGTGGGGCCATGCTTAAACCTAATGAGAATATTGACGGATGGCAGTTTGTGATAGCAGTCGCGGAAGAACAGCAGCAACCCATAGAACAGTTGATGCAAGAGGTATCAGACTACAAGTGTGGAGCTGGTCTTTGGAGCAAAGAATTTGTATGGCAAACAGCCAATAAAATGAGTCCATTGGCGTGGTGGAAATTACTTTAGTAAAAAACCTATCTAGGGACAATTGCTATTAAAATATTGACCGCTCCGGCAACTTTTGCTGCAGTAGAACGTTCGTCTTCAACCTTTTCAAATATACACACGAAAAAAAGGAATAAATTTCTTACGGAGCGGGCGGGCAAAATCAGTCTGATATCTCATAATTGGAAACTATTGAAAAGATTAAATAGAGACGATTCAAGAACAAATAAAACATTTGATCAAGAAATACCGAGTACATCTTATGAAGGGGATCGTGCAAGTGATTCTGAGACAGAATCTTTTAATTTAGACTCTGATTCAGAAATATCTGTGGTCGAGGAGGAACCAGAAGTCGTCATGAAGATGAGTGATCATGAGGATGACGATCCATTAGCTGGAATTTGAAAATATAGATACTAATCAGACCAATCAGACGAATTCTAGAAGATTAATTTTAATTTTATTACCTATTTACCTTTAAGTTCTGTTTGTTTCGTACTTTTCGTATCATACAGTTATGATATATATATTTAAAAAATATATATTTAATAAATGTTGATTAGATATTTGGTATTTTATTACTATTTAACATAACAATTGTTATTATTCTCTACTAATAAATAATAACTTAAATCACTTATGATAAATTTTAAATAGACAAATATTGGAAATATCAATCCTGGGGCGGAGTTGATTTTTCCAATATATATATGTTTATCATAAGTATAAAAATAACATTGAAAAATGCAAAAGTAAAAAAATCATCATAATTAAATCACATTAGTCTTGAAATATTTCCGAGAACATTCTAGAAAGTTCTCGAGAACATTCTCGTAGTCGGGAATTTACCGGGAATTTATATAAATAACTGGGTTTTTATTAATCCAGTCTGCATATTACGTACATACATATAAACATCTATTAGTCACATTGTAAATCCTACCGAAAAGTGACTTCACTTTTAAAGTTCTCATAAATTCTCGGTCAGAAGAATGTTCCCGAGAACTTAACCGCAAAGTTTCACCATAGAGAATGTTCTCGAGAATTTAACAACACTAGGCGGGACACATGCGCTCGCTCTCGGAGCGAGACTAAACAACATGTTCCACGTAACGTGAATGTGTTATTTACTCTCAAAAATGTTGGGGGCAAGTTTCGGGACGTTGCAGCATCACGTAGCTTGAGCGCTTAGTCCCCTAATGTATTCGAGGCTTAATACTAGCTTAGCCGGTGCAGATAAGCGCGCGATTCGTTTCTTAATTCTTTACGCGATCATAAAGCTGAAAAAGAACTGTTCAGGATTAACACAACGGTTTATTGTTTTAGTTGAAAACAGAGGCCCAAATAGGAACTTTGACTGCTCCGTAACCGTACCGCATCGTCAGTTTCTATGAAAACTAAGCTACCGGACTAAGAACAAACTGGCTCCTTCTATAGAAAATTTGACGATCCACGCGCGTGGCTCCGGTCACCACGCAACTGGCACCGAAGTGCAGTGTGAAAATTGCCTTAATCACCTTATCTAAACTAACTCATAGAGGATTGAGGTCAGAGTAGGAATAACATACAAGTAGGCTATGGCAATAGCAATTTTACAATCCATAAAAAAGTTAGTACTGGCTTTAGAGCTGTAGGCAATACATAAGCCTTTATAGGTGTTATAATATCAAGGTTAATACTAAAATAAAAACCTTTTCTTTTAGCATAATATAAAACTTGTGTAATTTTTTTTTTACTTCCTTTAATTTCAATTGTTTCTCTGAGTGAAGATAAAGTAGTGTATGGAACTGCATATAATTTCGGTATTAAAACACTCGAGTCTGTTTGACTCATGTGTTTTAATACCCCTTTTTATATGAAAGTCACATAAACTACTATTTTAAAATGACTTGTGTTTTTTGTTTCTGTGTTCCATACCAAGGGTCTGAATTCATCAGAAGGCTAACCCTACCATCTGATAAACTATTTTTGACATGCTTCAAAAAGAACTCATACAACAAATACTTTTTAAACATTGCATGTTCTGCAAAAATAATAATTTTATTATTACATGTAATAGATCCCATCTTAATATTTAAATATTTTTTGATGTGTAACATCTTTCCTATCGCTTTCCTGCAATTTGTGGGAGTGATTTCGTGAAATGGGACGGAAGTGTGTAACAGGAAGTCGCGAAAGCGCGCGCTTTTTGATTTGATTTTAGAACATAATTTTCAAATGGCCTTTTCCTTTTGTAGTAGGTTTTTTTTCTTTTTTTATTAAGATAAGGTGAGGTTTCAAATGTTACACATCATACGCGGCTACTGTAAGGCTCGCTCGTTTTTTTATTTTTATTAATAACATTCAGCTACAGTATGTGCTCTATGACTTAAACTATTGCATAAAGTACATGGTACCATAAAACCTAAAGTAAGGTAAAAAATACAAGAATGCCATTCTGCTTTTGCATCAAGTATTGTATATCGCACCTTTAGAATTACAACGACGCAAGTGCAAAATAACGTTAAAATAAGTTAAGTATAAAAAACGTTGTTAAAAGTGACAAACTATCATAAGGAACATTGACTCTTATGTAGTCGTTATTTTGCACTTGCATCGTTGTAATTCTAAAGGTACGATATGTTAATTTTATTCATATCAAGACAAGAGCTGGAGGAAGCTTATCAAGAAACAGAGGCAAAAAAGGCTTAATAAATGAATAAAAGTATTATACTCACTTTAGCTGGTGTTGCTGCGAGACGTGAAGATGAAGATCGTCTAGTTGTTCTAGCTGCTGGAGCAGGTTTCCTAGGAGTGGCAGGTTCATCTGCATCCTCGGTAGATGTGTCCAAAATTGTTGTATCTGCTAGTACTGTTGACAAGAAAATCCACATTCATTAGTATACAATGCAAACAGGCATGAGATGAATATAGAGTTGCAGAAAAACTCTTACTACATCTTTAGGTATACAACTTTAACTTTTCCCTTCTGCTATTTTTGGAATCATCACATGAAACAGGTTGCAAAATAAGAAAATTATTAGTTTTTGAAACAGAAATGTGATATTTCCATCTTAATTAAGGTATACAAATAGATATGGACCTATGAAATTACTATTAATTTTTTACATTGGAATTACAATTGATAAATATAATTTGAAATTGTCTATTGTTACATGTAGTAAATTATAAATTTGATAAGCCATAAAGTTGTCATACTAGTCTGGTCAAAATTTTAGTAGAAAAATAAACAAAATGTCCAAAATAGCAATAAATACACATTTTGGATTGTCAATTTGAATGTCTAAATTTTTTAATAGAGAACTGCTTTTAAAAAAGACGTGTCCAATTACAGGATTTGTCATTTAAAAAATCCTCAACTGTATAGTAGGCTTTTTCAACTAATAATGCTAACAGACTCTTCTCAAAAGTCTTTATCGGTAGTGATTTAAGACAACTCGAAACCTTGTTGAATATTCTGTGAGCCATCCCAAAGAAGCTATTACTAACGTATACGCTTTTATTAGAAGGAGCGCAAATCCTATTCCAGTGATAATGATTTCTATCAGGGTTCTTTTCTGAGAGTGTCGGAAACAGATACCAATATTCATTCTGAACACAAATGTTAACAATTGGCACTTTATTTTTAATACTGTCAAAGAAAAGGGCTCATGTTAGTGAAAAGTGTGTCTAATTCTAATGTCAAATTGTACTAAAGATTTCAATGTGTGAGTGTGTAGCAATGAACATATCTACCATAAGTAGTAGATATTTTTTGTACTGCTAATATGCAGTTAATACAATATCAAGGGTGTTTATAATCTATACCCTATAAAGCCATTTAATAAAGCAGGAGTTTTATGCCATGAGGCAGATAACTAGGACTAGGATAAAATCCTTGTAGATTGCATAGAATGCTGCCTACTGCCTTATGACGAGTGCATCCCTAATTTAATAAATATGTTAGATATATTATCACATAAAAAAAAATATTTCGAACAACCTGTTTAAACCATTTCTATAGTCAGTTTAAACCATTTCCATGGTCAATTTGTAATTAGAATTTGCAATTGAAAACTATTTTCCAAAAATAAAAAAATAGGATGCCAATATTTGCATCATTCATGAACTAAAACTTTATATAAAAAAAAGTAAACAGTCCAACAATATTAAAATAATCCATTACAGTATTTGAAAGGAAGATATAGACCTAGAAACAAAGCTTTACAAAACCTTGCTGATACAATATTAAAGTTTATCTGTTGATTCCAACTTAGTTTTTAATTTTTGCAGTCATGTTAATATTAATTTTGTTGTTCGAGGTGCTTGTATTAATCAATAAAGTCATTGGTGTTGAGAAATTAATTATCAATGGATTTAGACTTATTTCACGGTTCAGAGAATGATATTCTGTCATATTTGTAGGTATCACTACAAGAGGTTAATTACAGAAGCGATGATCGAATGATTTTATTACCTCATGATTATTACTTTACACGGAATGTAACCACAAACTGGTTTAAAAAAAACCACTTACAACAATATAAACGTTATCAAAATAGCACACGTGCCAATACATTACTGGAAAGATCTAGCTTGGTAGTTACACGTCCGTTATCAAACTCTACCAGTAATTACTAGCGTATGTAGAATGTTATCAAAATAGTCAATTACCTTTCCCTGTTTTAGCTTCTAAAGCTTTCTTCAGTCTTTCAACCAAAGCCGGCTTATTCCCTTTGGTGTCCAAACCTAGAGCGCCAAGCTCGGACCGAAGGTCTACTACTTTCATTTTAGCAGGATCCATGATGGAACAAAATACGCGTCCTCACAACACTTATCACAATTATATCAACTATTGGCACTGAAACATACACGATTAAGTAAAACCAAACATTACTTGCGAAAAATAATCACACCAAGAAAGCGCCAAACCAAAGCAATATGGCTTCCCCAGGAAACATAAACCATAGACAAAACAGAGAATTTATAGACAAATCAGAAAACTCCAAAGTTAAGCTACATTTACACCATCAATAAATACCGATTTCAAAGTATGGTCAATCAATTTAATGTTCTCATCCCCCCTAGCATGAACACCACGATATGGTATATAACACGTTTTTATCACGCTCAATTGTCAAATTACTATGGTAATGTTCTCATCCCCCCTAGCATGAACACCACGATATGGTATATAACACGTTTTTATCACGCTCAATTGTCAAATTACTATGGAGTTTGACATTTAAACGCGATAAAAAACGTGATATAATGTAAATTGTGGTGCTCATGCTACAGGGACATGTCTATTTTTCAAACCTTCACTGTGTGAAAGTGCTTAATTTAATTCAAACCTTTTTTTCTTCTCTTTCTTGAATCAAATTACTTTTACTTTTTGCCACCCTTTATTTGAACCGCACAGTTTGCATGAGCGTTGGCTTTGCGCGTCTGGCCGTTGTGTGATATTGTTACGTCATGAATGCGGCTTTATCGGTAGATGTCCTGAACGTTACCTTTTTACTCTATAGCATTTTATATCTTTATGGGTTATATTTGCTACGGCTACGGTGAACTCATAAAAGCTAAAAAACTTCCTTCCGTGAATAGGATTGTACGATTAATGGCTACCTACTTTTATAATTATAATATTATAAATGTGATTAAGATAATAAATAACTACAGTTAATACAACGTGTGCATTTTGTTTAGTCTCAACAAGCAAAGGAGAACTGCCAACGCACTGTTTTGACCTTAGTTAAAAAATACCACCTACCCCTACTTTATGCCCACACTTACTTGGTTATTCGTGTTGGCTATTTGTTAACTTGACATCAGTATGTCCTTTACATTCTGTCTTAAACATGGGTTGTGTTATAATATATAATTATAAATAAGACGACTGTTTGGCTCAGCAATTTTATAATATCGACGTACTGACAAGTATAGACTAAGGACGACAGACATAGACTAACTACTCATATAACATCCCCCTTATTAACAAGAATGTAAATTAATAAATTAAAATAATAAGTATTTTGTCACCGACTGTACTAACTGAAACAATTAGTTACTTTACGTATAGGAGAGCATTAGGTCAAGTCTATAAATTAAGTCTTTGTGGTCGCCTAACAATCCTACCACTCCTAGTACGCGTATGACTACTAGTACTCTGAACCGGTGAATTATCGACTTCTTCAACATCTATTTCAAACATAGGACCTGAAGTTGAAGGTGAACTTGATGGTGGAGGAGACATAATATGTTGTCTGTTTCTTCTCAACGACGTACCATCTTTTCCTTCAATCTCAAAAGATCGCGGTTCTCCATATATACTTTTTATTTTTCCAGGCATCCAATTACTAGATGGATTCTTTTTGTAAAATATATCTTGACCTACCTTGACATCTGATAAGACTCTTGTCTTTCGATCGTAATATGATTTAGATTTCACTGCATTCTTCCTTTTCGTTTCCAAGTGATCTTCAAATCGCACAACTTTAGGACGAAGCTTTTCTGCTATCGTTGGTAGTTGTGTCCTCAGAACTCGTGACATTAGTAACTGCGCTGGAGAAGCTAAGTTCCCCCTAGGCGTATTACGGTATTGCAATAGAGCCAGATACGGGTCTGTGTTAGTCTCTTCGCACTTCATTAATATACGCTTACATACTTTTACGCCTGATTCTGCTAACCCATTCGACCTCGGTAAATAGGGACTGGAAGTAGTTTGCTTGATTCCCCACTGACGTGTGAATTGATGAAACTCAGCGGAATTGAATGGAGGCCCGTTATCGCTCACAATCTCCACTGGTATTCCGTGTCTACTAAAAATAGGTTTAAGCATGCTTATTAATGCTTTAGCACTAACTGTACTAATATTTGTGACTTCAATAAAATTGGAATAGTAATCTTCGACAACAACATAAGTTCTATTCTTATGTGAGAAAAAATCTATACCAACTTTACCCCATGGAATACTAGGTATTTCATGTGACATAAGAGGCTCTGGTAGATTTGCATTTCTATGAGAAAGACATGCAGGACAGGACTCTACCATATTCTTAATGTCACTTGACATAAATGGCCAAAAAACATGTCCACGAGCAAATGCCTTAGATCTTTCTATTCCTAGATGACCACAATGTATAATTTTTTAAAATATCGGACCTGATCTTTTTAGGAATAATCATGCTATTACCTCGGAATAGAAGCTCGTCTTCAGTATGAATTTCATCTCTATACGACCAATATTCTCGAACAAGGGATTCCACTTTATTCCTACTGTTCGGCCATCCTTCTTGACAGTATAGTTTCAAGATGTTCATGCTTTCATCACAATTTGTAGCATCACGTAGCCATTTGAGACGTTCTGGACTAATCGGTAAAGATTTAATTAGTAAATTAACATGTACTACGACATCGTCATCTAATTCATCTTCACTAGATTCCGGTAGGGCTGCACGAGATAACGTGTCTGCTATGAACATTTCGGAACCTCTTTTATAAATTACATCAAGACTGTAAGCTTGAATTTTCAACATCATTCGTTGCAAGCGAGTTGGAACTTCAACCAAAGGTTTTTTGAACAACGTGACTAGTGGACGATGATCTGTTTCCACCGTAACTGTTTGTCCATAAATGAATTGATGAAATCTGACACATGCGAAGACAATCGCATATAGCTCTTTTTCAATTTGAGCCATTCTTTGCTGAGTAGAAGTAAGCGTTTTAGAAGCATAATAAATAGGGTGTTCTTTTTGTAATAAGACAGCTCCGACTGCTGTACTACTCGCATCTACAGACAATGTTATTGGAACTTTCACGTCGAAATGAGCTAATACCGGAGAACGACAAATTAAACTTTTAAGACGACAAAATATGTTCTCGTAATTAGGATTCCATATAAAAGTTGAATCTTTTTTCAAAAGATCTCTCAACGGACTGACTTCATCCGCTAAATTACTAATATAAGGACTAAGGTAATTTAACATACCAAGAAACCGTTGTAAGTCCTTTACACATGCTGGCGACGGCATTTCTGTGATAGCTTTTACTTTTTGCGGATCTGGTTTTACTCCATCACCAGAAAAAATATGTCCTAGGTACTTAACCTCTGTGTTAGCAAATGAACATTTTTCACGATTAAACCTGACGTTATATTGTAAAGCCTTTTCAAATACTAGCTTTAGTCGTTCAGTATGTTGTTGTATGGACTCTCCGCAGACTAAAATATCGTCACTGTACACAACTACGCCTGGAATATCGCTAAACGTTTCTGTCATGACTCTGTGAAAATATTCCGGTGCACAATTGACACCAAACGGGAGGCGTTTAAAACGATAACGCCCAAACGGTGTATTAAAGGTTGTGAGGTAAGAACTCTCTCTATCCAAGCAGCACATCCAAAATCCACTGCAGGCGTCAAGATTTGAAAAATATTTAGCTCCTACAACCTTAGAACGTACTACGTCTACCGTTGGAATAGGGTAATGAGACCTACGAATACCCTGATTCAAATTTCTTGGGTCTAGACCAGCTATACTCTAAGTGTGTTCCGCGGAACCCTAGGGTTCCGTGATACCTCTGTCGGGGTTCCGCAAGAATTTAGAAATAAAAAAATCAAAACACCTCTCTCTGGTCGCTCCGCGGCTGTGCGGACTCCGCGGCCGCGCGGAGACAAAACGCTATGAATGTTATTTATTTATTTATTTGTATTTGTATAAGCTTGTGTTACATTAGCTGGTACAATATCTCATAAGTTTGGTCTCAACAATTTTATACTTGTACAACGCGTTCGCTCTAAGTTTGCCGGTCTGTGGAATGCGCGTACCCTCCCCCACGTGACAACAAAACTTATAATGTGTCATAGTTTTACCCAAATATCTAACGTACACAATTTTTATTGTTACAATTAAATAAAAAATTTCGAACGTCATACACTCATACCTATCGCCAGCGGCAAACTTAAAACGAGCGGGTAGGTATACTTGTAAGCGCTCAGTCTCTTTGATAAAAGCCGCCTCTGAATTAGACGCTATAGTTGTCAACTAGCGACTTTCGTCTCTAACTTCAAAGGATAAAGTCGATATTGTTTACAACGCTATTTTTAAATTTCTGTTTTTATTTTTGCTTTTTGTTTATCAAAGGTGCCGACTCGAGTATTTTCGAGAATATTTGAGATCGAGTCTAGGATGTATAAAAGCGGCGATCGCGCGTTGGCGTCGTCAGTTGATGATTAGCGTTCGGAGCGATAAGTTACTACCTACTTACAAGCTCGCTAGCGAGAAACTGGTGTTCATTGTTTTACTGCCTGCTGTATTCTGTTGTCTCAGTTTTATACATTTCTTCCCTGTAGGTTCTAAATTTAGTCTCTTATACGCAGTAACGATTGTGCATTATTTAAACCCCACTATCCTGACTTGTAACATTATAAATAAAGAAGAATGGAACGTTGGCTTAAAGGTGTTAAACGTGTTCCAACAACATCTTCTAATGACGCTGAATGTTCAAAAGCAATGCGCGCGGAGAATTTAGCAATCACCGATCCAGAAGATGATGCCACGAGTGCCACGACGTCAAGCTCGACGGTTTCAAAGACGAAAAAAAGGAAGTATGATGAATCTTATATCAGTTTCGGATTTGTTGATTCCAACGGCTCACCTCTCTGCATGCTCTGTAGTAAACTGCTTCCTAATAGTTCCATGGCACCTGCCAAATTGCGTCGACATTTAGAAACCGTACACCCCGAGACTAAAGACAAGAATAAAGAATTTTTTGTTCGCAAAAAAGATCAGTTATTAGAAAGTC